CAAACATTGTGATCCATGATCATTTTCGATAATGCTCTTCAATTTCCTACTTTTTGATATCTATGAGGATTTTATTTATAGTAGTTAATGTTGTTTTTATTTAACAAAACCTGTCCAAATTTTTTTTTAATTAAAAAACTTGATAAGATAACTGGAATAAAAAAAAATCATTACGTTTGCGCGCAGCTTTTGATTACATTTGCACGCATTCTTTTACAAGTAAACTAAGGTAAATACAGGTAGATTATACTTATTTATTTATTTAACTTATATTCTCGAGCAAGATAAGTCCGTTTTATTGTGAACAAGCACTTAGCCCTGGAAAAAAATAAAAAATGTAAAAAAAACATAGTAAATCTAAAGATTAAAAGTACTGATTTCACATGTCGTAACGTGCACAAAAATGTAATGCGCCCCAATTTTCGTATGAAAACAAATGGTCAATATAGAACTTCCAAATGGGCGCATTACATTACATTTTTAATGATAAAATCGACAACTGAGGATATATTGAATAACAATAATGCCCTAAATAAATTGCGCACATTTTTTTCTTCAAGCACGAAATTCCAATTTTCGTTTCAATTTCACGAAAACTCTCTTGGCATTTCCTATCAAAGGAAATAACTTCCGAATGAAAGATAGAATCGAAAAAAGACTGAAATAAATCGCTTTCTATTTTCGTGCAATTTTGGAGTTCCTTAAATCGTGCAGGTATTCAAAAGGTTTGTTAACCGTTACTCAGTTATTCAAAATTTAGACTGAGATGAATTTAACTTAAAAAGGATTTTCTCAACAGTTGCGTGTGAAGATTAGGCATTGAATTCTTTAAATGACAACATCTTAAAATCTTCTATAAACATTGTATTTATGTTTTTATTTACATCTTTGTCCGTTGTATCTAAGGATTGTTGTTTAAGGTAGATGGGGTGTCTAAATTATAATCCATAGAATTTTTTAATAATTTGCCAAAATGTAGTTTATATCATGCTTTTTTGAAAAAAATAATAAAAAGAATGGGTCACGGGGCTTATTTTAACGCTACAGGTTGTTCAAAATTGACAGATTTTGTATAGATTATGCATGGAAAACGCAATTTTCTGCCATAAAACGAAAACTACACCATAGAATTTTGAGATAAAATATGAGAAGATAGCTCTAATATTATACTTTCAGATAAGAAAAAGAAAGAATGGGGTCACCGGGCCCGTTTTCTTGCTACATAATAAAATAGATAAATTCCTAACATATTCTATTGTAAAAGTAACTTTATCTGAATTATCTGCCCTTACATTTGAGTTGCCTCCCCTTATGTGGCAAAGTTGGAAAAAATTGAATCAAACAAAAGTATTCTGTTTTTTGTAAAATACAACCATAAATATAATAAAACATGTCATTTTCTATATTAAAATGAAAATTCTTACACATGAATTACCCACTACTCTCAAAATTTGCACATTTTCTTAAAGCTCTAGACCGATTATTTTCTGGTATTTCAAAATCCAAGATGGAGGAAGACATCCTATTTACCTTAATTGGCAATCATACAACATATCTTTTTTTTATATTATGTTAGCAATACATACAGCCATTCCACTAAATTTTAAATTGTTCTGTTCACCGCCGATCGGTGCCTATCATAAAAAGATCATATCTAAAAGCATTTTTGGTTTCAGTGTATTGTTTGTTTGATATCTCTTTGATGTAAACACGATTCTTATGTAACGACTACAGTAAATCGGCATGTTCCAAACTGTATGTTGACGAATTGTCGTTGAAAAAATCCTGACGCAATTATTGTACTATATAAAATTATATTATATACACTGTGTACTGCTATTTGTCTGTTGGTCGATTTCCGTTTTTTTTTATTTGCCATGGCATTGTCACTTTGCTTTCAACTTATGAGTTTGAATATCCCTTTGGTATCTTTCGCCTCTCTTTTACAACAGAATAACAATAACCGTAATCAATAAGTCTATTAAACTTAAACTGAAAATCGAAAGAAAAATTACTAACAAGTTTTAAATATAGAATTACTTTACAAAGCGTGTTGCGAAATATAATTTTTTTATCATTTCCTGCAGAAAAACCATCGGTTATCAATTAATCTGTGATAAAATTTATCAAATATTCTGACCAATTAATGATAGCTATAATTATACCTTTTTTAAATGGTTTTAGTAATGCACTTCAAATATGCACTTAATTTACTAGCCATAAAAGGGCATTGGTAAACCATAAGAAGAGGCCAATGGAAAATCATATAGAAATAGAAAGTAAACAATGAGAAAAAATGTCGTTCAGTTTGAAAATAAATTGGTATAAACATTTCAACAAGAAATTCGAATAAAAAGGTGTAAAAATGGACAACGACATCTATTGACATTGGAATTAAGAAAAGCAATTTCTTCGTGGATATAATTTTGAATATATATAATGTAGGACTCTGAAGTGCGATTGTCACGCTAAAGTGCGATGGTCTACGATAAGTGCGATGGTGTCAGACGCTAAAGTGCGATGGTTGTTTTTTTTTTTTTTATCTGCGATCAGATGACACGCTAAAGTGCGTTGGTTTAACACGCTAAAGTGCGATGGTGTAACGGGAATGGGGTTCAGGCAATGGTTTTTGTTTTTTGCTTTGTTCATATTAGATTTTCGTCTATTGTATTGTTTATAAATCATGCCGTTGTCTTTCTCTTTTCAATTGTTTTACACTAGTAATTTCGTGGACCTATATAGCTTGCTATGCGACGTAAGCCAAGGCTCCACGTTGAAAGTCACAACGTTATTAGGTGCATACATCAACGACATTTGGTCTATGGTGGATAGTTGTTTCGTTGACAAAATACACCACATTTGTTTTTTTGCTTTGTATATAGATCAGTTCGTTATTTTTCACGTTTGAATTGTTTAACACTGGTCGTTTTGATACCCTTTGGTCGTTATATAATACTATCTGCGGGGTTAGCCATAAGGTAACCTATAGTTAATAGCCTTGGATAGAAACTTGTCTCATTGGCAATCATATACTAACATCTAGAAATTGACAAACAGGATCGGTTAAAAAATGACAAAAGAGATGATTTCATCTCTCAAATCAGTGTGCACCTCTGGTCGTTATGTTACTGTCTTGTTGACGAGTAATCATCTATTTCACAGACATGACGAACCATATTGTAAAAAATTGTTTTAAAAAATAATTCAAATAGAAAGTTAAAAAGTAGCTTTTATTTCACGCAAGTAAATGACATTGGATTAAAAATATAGAAGGAGTTTCTAAATTAAATTTGGACGAACTTTAAAAATACTTTGACACTTGGTGTATTTTGCCGTTTTCGCTCTCTTTTACGGTATACACTTTCCCCTTACTATCGTCAGTTTCTATGTTTATGAGAAGTCCCTTTTCCAATATCTTGACAGAAACACGTTCGTTCCCGCCGACACAACGGAATCAAAGGTTTGCATTTCTGTTACTGTGGATGATTTTTTAGGAAATAACTCCTCCGCATACAAACTCTTTTAGCACCGATCAAAAATGATCCGGATTGGGATCATTTGTTTCTCTTTTCTTGTCTAGTAAAAATCCTTCATCTGTACAAACATTCTCGTTTACCGGCATGTCCGTTTTTGTTTGTACAAACGGCTTGTAGCGTCATATTGCTATTTAACGTTGCAAACGTCCATACTTTCGCGAACAAACGCACTTCAGCGTATCGCGGCATCGGACTTTAGCGTGTTCCATTAAATAGCACAGACCATCGCACTTTAGCGTATCAAACCATCGCACTTTAGCGTGGGCCATCGCACTTTAGCGTGACCATCGCGTTTTAGCGTCCCCATCGCACTTTAGTGTCACAATTACACACAATTACTCTAAATTTCAGCACAACAATGTTAAATCTGCAAATATATATCTATTAAGCCAAATCTAAATTAATCATTTTTACATCAAATATGTCACAAAAAATATTGGTCGGTTTCTGTGTTTCTTTTTTGGGTATTTGGGAAGTTTGCCATTAACTTTATTTATGACAGACAAAGAAAAAATCTACAATAAGAGGGACACAACTAGTCCCTATGAGAATACCAATCACTTATATTTCTTTTTGCTATCAAGTCATCGGCATACACATAGCAAAGTTTTATCATCCTCATTTTGATTAAAAAAAAACAAAAATTGACTTCTATTGGTTGCTCATTTTTTATTATCATTTGTACATGTGCTGTATATGTATATCAATAACCTAGAAGGACAGGGAAAACTATATTACTTGATGTCATATCTGACAGTACTTATATATATATATGGTTTAGCAGTCTTCTTTTTTCCTTGGTTATTACGATCACGTGATTCAAATGGTATTTAAGTATATGGACGCTGTGTTTTGTTTTATATATATCTTGACGATCAATATTAAAAATCTTGCAAAATACATTCCCAATGTAATATGAATAGAAAGAACATTGAAGTTCATTTCCATAATACACTGTTTACATATGTAATATATAAATTAACGGCTTTTACTCAGTCAATACGTTATATACAGACCTGCTAGATTATATTCAACCTCGGACTTCGTCCTCTGTCAATATAATCTTAACAGGTCCATATATATCGTATTAGCCTCGTCGAAAGTCCATAATTGGAATATATATATATATATATGATTTTTTTTTTATTTCAGATCTAACTGCAAATTATTGCAGATAAAACCAATTCAATGTGTGAGGTTGTCAAGAAAAGTAACGCTAGGCATGTGGTCTCGGGTTTATTTCCAGCTATTGTTTTACTCGGTATTTTATTACCAATGTTATTGTACACAAACCTCGAATCCATAAAGCTATATCTGACAACAATAAAACTAATTCACGGGGTTGATAACGTTATAAATGAAACAACATATTTTCTTCAAAATTTAGATTCTTCAACAAGTTTTCTCAAATCTCATCACCGACATATTCATGATGTCACACGTTCGCCATTGGTGAAAGCTGTAATGCCAGTGACTGTTATGAACACGTTAGCAAATTCAAAAAATGTTGTATCAAAATCGACAGAAAGGCCTCTGAAATGTGATGGATGTTTTTCCAAAATATTCAAATTTTTAATCAACAATGGCGATATTTGTAAAACAGAAAATGAAAATGTCCAAATATTAATCCTAATAACGTCTTCACCACAAAATAGTTTGGCACGAACGGCGATTAGGGAGACTTGGTTAAAATATGCCAAAATTAGCAAAGAAAAGATCAGATACATATTTTTACTCGGCGAATCACCTGAGACTGAAGAAATTAAGAAAGAAAATTCCATAACAAAGGATATTGTGCTTGGAAATTTTAAAGATTCCTATTCTAATTTAACTTTGAAAACAATAATGGGTTTTCAATGGACAGTACGGCACTGCAAAAATGCAAAGTTTGTCATGAAGACGGATGATGATATGTATGTAAATATTCCTGGTCTAATCCTTGTTATCAAGAAAAACGACCACGTTTTACAAACTGCCGTTGGAGGATATTGTTACATGATTGGTCAGCCTCATAGAGATAGAAAATCTAAATGGTATGCCTCCTTTAGAAGTTATCCTCAAAAAACATATCCAGGATTTTGTTCAGGTACTGGCTACGTTACCAGCTTCAACGTTGTCACAAAAATTGTTAATATATCAAGGCATGTTCCATTTTTTCATTTGGAAGATGTGTATGTTTCTCTGTGTATCCAACAACTTGGTTTTAGGCTGTATTCGCTGGAAGGATTCATGGAAATACATGCTTTTGATCCTTGTTTTTATAAGAATGAGAAGTTAGTCACAGCTCATCAAGTACCCCTAAAATGGATGCGATATATTTGGGAAACGCCTTGTCTTAAAATGGATGAACATTTAAAAGTTAAGGCCACTCTAAATTAATTTATAGTTCTTCGGATTCGCTCGCTCCAAGATTTTTGAAACTTAAGAATTTCTGAATTATCGCCCTAAGAGGACGACCATTTGATATTCTGGGGTGGGGGGGGGGGGGGGGAGGGGGGGCAGGAGGATTTGTTTTGGATGGGTTATTTATTTTTGTGGACCAAAAGGACAGATTATTTATTTTCTGCACTGTTGAAGCATGATTTTTCATTTTCATTAAAACAAGGGACTGATTATCTATTTTCACAATTATATTTATAATATTTGAAAACATACAATTTTTAAATTCTTAAATAAATAACATAGTCAATTAAGTCAATCAGAATTAATCATCATCCTCTGGAAGTTAATCTTCTGAATTGCAAACTGCATACATTGCATACGTACAAGGTATTAAAGCTGGGCTGAATCTAGCTTCTTTTAAAAGTTGTCAAACATTTTCGCCGAGCGGAGCGAGCCGAAAAAAAAATCAGCGAAGAGTCTGGGGTTCGCTGAAGGCCCCAAGAAGCTATAGAAAAAATGGTGCAAAATCATGCATTATGCGCGTTTCCCAGACCCTTTCTAAATCTGTTTTAATTTTTGACAATATTCTGGTCTCAAAGCAAAATATATAGATTCAGTGTAAGACTTTTAGTTTTTAGGGACAACATCAAAAGACCAATATGTAGGACAAAGCAAAAAATGTTTCAGTTTGCAGAAAAACCTTTTATACCTGTCAATTATGTTTTTTTTCAAATTAAGTTAAGAGGGGGCTGATTATCATTGATATAACTATGTCAAGTCAGTTTTTATAACACATTTCAATTACAACTTGATGTAGTTCCTAACTGGGATACACTTTAAAGTAGTTTGTAATAGACAAAAGGTAAATATAATAAAACTCAAGTTTAAAACATAATTACTAAATTACAAATAGAATGCAACACTAAGAGAATAGTCATAAAGAAGGGCAATCAATGAACAAAAGACAAACCAGGGAACAGATAAAACACAAAACGACAAACATTATAGACAATCAACACTGAAAAATAAAAATATATAAAATGAGAAACATGGATCTAAAAAAACAGGAGCTACGTCAGAGGGTGAACAGAACTTGCTTCTTGCAAGACACTTGCCGTGAAAACAATTTGATATGAAGACAAGCTTTTGTTTTGAAATTTCCAACATGAGGCATTTGCCTCAATGTAGTTACGGCCCTGTAATAAAAGTGAGGTAAATGTTTACGAGACAATATACCTCAAGTGAAATGAAACCCATTTTCAAACGTTTCAAATACATTAATTTAATATTTATATTATTAAAAGATTTGGGAAGTTTTTCCCGAAAAAATATACGAAAAAAGACGAATTTTGGAAGAATCTGGTGCCATCTCATACTTCAGAATAGCATTTATAAAATGGCTTAAAAGACCTGCCAAGTTATTTTCAATACATTGTAAGTCAGGTTATTTATTTTCAAACTACCACAGAACAAACCATTCATTTTTGTTATTATCAAGGCTGAGTTATTTATTTTCAAAATTCTCCTCCCCCCCCCAGAATATCGAATAGTCGTCCCCTAATGTTCAAAAATTATTTCTCGCTCCTGTAAACAAAACACTTTTAAATTGAAAATTAGAATACGCCTCATCTCACCAAATTTCAGATATCGCCCGCTAAAGTTATCATTCTAGGGCAAAAAGTAACAATCAAAATTTCGCTCGCTCGCCCCAATGTTTTAACATAAAAGTCTGAACAACATTTATTCAATTTGAAGTCGCCTAAATAATTCAATACATGTATATGAAAAGTTTAATATCGATCGTTTTTTATCTGACCATACGCGTCACCATAAAAACATTAGGTCAGGAATATCGTTAATAGTTGTGGAGAATTAAGGATTAATGACAAACCTAAGATTGTTTCTGTTCCATTCATTCACAATTTGTCTTACCTCAAGACGAATAAAAGCTTGACATTCTGTTATGAAACCTGTCTTTTGTTGAAAACTTATGTTGTCCTCTAAATGATTTTTAGATTTGTTTTCGTTCGATTGTTGTCTCATTCTGATTCAAACAAAAAGTTCTCTGAAACTGACGTTATGAAGATGCTTGAATTCTTGATTGACAACATATTTGTTACGTTTGGAGGACGAGTGTTTCAACAAACAATCTGCATTCCAAATGGAACCAACAGTGTTCCTCTGCATGCCGATTTGTTCCTTTCATGATTTATGTGAGGCAGGCTTTTTTACAGGAACTTCTTACGAGGAATGAAAAAAAGTTCACATTATCCATTAATATCACCTTACGCTATATAGATGATGTATTCTCGCTAAAAAAATCAAAGTTTGGTGATCAAGTGGAACGCATCTATCCCATAGAACTTCACATAAAGGATATAACAGATACAGCTAAGTGTGCCTCATATCTTGACTTGCATCTAAATTGACAGCGATGGTCGGTTGAAAAGAAAACTGAACGACAAAAGATTTCAATTTCCAATTGGGAATTTTTCATTTTCATGTAGTAGCATTCCAGCAGCGCCTGCATATCTCCCAGTTGATGCGATATTCCAGAGTTTGCATTTCC